GACATGTATATGAATAATTTTGAATGAATATAAATATGTCTCATTTGAACCAATAAGCCTTCCACAGCTTCCTATATTCTTATGTTCAAACATGTCACCACCTACTCTTTGTCTTTCTAGATTATGCAAATCAGGCTTTTTTAATCTCTTCTTAACGAAGATTTCTAGGTCCTGGAGTTACCTTTGTTATTCTTTTCTGTGAACATTCAAGTGTTAGAAGATAAATATTTGTGTACAGAAATACTGTTAAGAAATTAAAGTTCAAGAGTAGACTAAAAGATGAACTCAAGAAAGGGATATTCATCAGTAGTGCAAACAATGACCCTATAAAATCTACTTTGGCAAGACGTAAGACGACGTTTGGGGAAAAGTAAATATGGCGGCCTGTTGAAGGACACAGTTGAGATGGGACGATGAGGAAGTTTTGTATTATTATTATTATTTGCTACCACAGACGTGGCCACACATTTACAATGCTAACCAGCATATATACATTTTCTTCTGTCCTCCATGGACAGGGTGAGAGATGTGTTAAACATATAGTTCAGGGATTTATTGAACACTCAACCACAGAAGGTATGGGAGTTGCCAGCGTGATGGGAGCGGGGAATGGCCCCCAATGGCACCCCCCTTCGCCCAACCACTTGGGCTGGACGGTCTCGCTTCATGCAGGTCGGCGTTCAATATCCGACCGTCCAAGTGGTTGGGCACCATTCCTTTCCCCCGTCCCATCCCAAATCCTTATCCTGATTCCTTCTCAGTGCTATATAGTCTATTGGCTTGGCGATTTCCCCTGATAATTCCATCCATTCCTCTGGGTCAGGCTGGGCTCGGAGGCACCACACACAACACGCCCACCACACACAACACGCCCACCACACACAACACGCCCACCACACACAACACGCCCACCACACACAACACGCCCACCACACACAACACGCCCACCACACACAACACGCCCACCACACACAACACGCCCACCACACACAACACGCCCACCACACACACACGCCCACCACACACACACGCCCACCACACACACACACGCCCACCACACACACACGCCCACCACACACAACACGCCCACCACACACAACACGCCCACCACACACAACACGCCCACCACACACAACACGCCCACCACACACAACACGCCCACCACACACACAACACGCCCACCACACACACAACACGCCCACCACACACACACACACGCCCACCACACACACACACACGCCCACCACACACACACACACGCCCACACACACACACACACGCCCACCACACACACACACACGCCCACCACACACACACACACGCCCACCACACACACACACACGCCCACCACACACACACACGCCCACCACACACACAACACGCCCACCACACACAACACGCCCACCACACACACAACACGCCCACCACACACACAACACGCCCACCACACACACAACACGCCCACCACACACACAACACGCCCACCACACACACAACACGCCCACCACACACACAACACGCCCACCACACACACAACACGCCCACCACACACACAACACGCCCACCACACACACAACACGCCCACCACACACACAACACGCCCACCACACACACAACACGCCCACCACACACACAACACGCCCACCACACACACAACACGCCCACCACACACACAACACGCCCACCACACACACAACACGCACACCACACACACAACAACACGCCCACCACACACAACAACACGCCCACCACACACAACAACACGCCCACCACACACACAACACGCCCACCACACACACAACACGCCCACCACACACACAACACGCCCACCACACACACAACACGCCCCCCACACACACAACACGCCCAACACACACACAACACGCCCAACACACACACAACACGCCCACCACACACACAACACGCCCACCACTCACACACAACACGCCCACCACTCACACACAACACGCCCACCACACACACAACACGCCCACCACACACACACACAACACGCCCACCACTCACACACAACACGCCCACCACACACACACAACACGCCCACCACACACACACAACACGCCCACCACACACACACACAACACGCCCACCACTCGCACACAACACGCCCACCACACACACACACACACACACAACACGCCCACCACTCGCACACAACACGCCCACCACTCACACACAACACGCCCACCACTCACGCCTACATATATATCATCACATACACATGGCGCTGAATAACCTATCAGGCTTTTCGATGTGCAACTCCGTCAGAAATGCACATGTCTTAGCAAATCAGAAACGTTCAAACCCAGCAATCTAACCTAACCTTTGGAGGCCGATACATAGAGAACGTTAATGTTACGGCGATTACATTTGTTTACTAATGCATTGCAGGCGATGAGTCACAATAACGTGGCTAAAGTATGTTGACCAGACCACACACTAGAAGGTGAAGGGACGACGACTTTTCGGTCCTTCCTGGACCATTCTCATCGACAATCGACTTGAGAATGGTCCAGGACGGACCGAAACGTCGTCGTCACTTCACCTTCTAGTGTGTGGTCTGGTCAATTTACTAATGCATAGTTTTTTTTATCGAATTGGTCGAATATCGAATGTAGGGCGTTGGATTTTCAACTTTCTGTCAAACAGAATGCAGAGAGTGACGGTCAATCAAATAAGATAAAGCCCCAAGTGCAGTGAAAAGCTCTGTACCCCAGGGCACAGTCCTTGCACCACAGTTATTTCTCATTTTTATCTTGGATATAGACAAAAATACGAGACGCAGCTTCGTGTCATCCTTTGCAGATGATACAAAAATCATCATGAAAATTTCCTTTGTCGAAGACACTAAAAAACTGAAGGCAGATATTAATAAAGTTTTCAATTGGGCAACTGAAAATAAAATGATGTTTAACGGTGACATGTTCCAGGTACTGATGTTTGGTGTAAACGAGGAACTTTAAACGAAACACAGGGTACAGGACACGATCAGACCTACTCATAGCAGAAAAACAACATGCAAAGGATCTGGGAATTATGATATCTGACGACCTGACATTTAGTGAACATAACCGAGCAAATATAGCGGCAGCCAGGAAAATGATTGCATGGATTATGAGAACGTTCAAATCCAAAGACCCCATAGCAATGCTAATAATATTTAAATTACTGGTGCTGTCTGTCGTGGTGCTCAGTGCTCGCTTCCCCTTTCAGAGCAGGAGAGATCTCTGAAGTAGGGGGAATACAGAGAACATGTACGGCACGCATAGAAACGATAAAGCATCTAAATTATTGGGACCGTCTCAAAGCTTTCAAAATGTACTCTGTGGAAAGGAGACGAGAAAGGAATCAAATAATATATATATATGGAAGATATTTGAAGGCCAGGTCCCAAATTTGCAAATTAGAATAACAACATACTGGAGCGAAAGATACGGAAGGAAATACAGAATGAAGACTGGAGAAAAGAGTAGAGGTGCCATAGGCTCAATCAGAGAACACAGTCTGAACATCAGAGGTGCACAGCTGTTCAACACCCTCCCAGCAAGCATTAGAAATATTGCTGGAACAACTGTTTGTGTATTCAAGAGGTACTTCGATAAGTTCTTGTAAGAAGTGCCGGACCATCCAGGCTGTAGTGGATATGTGGGCCTGCGGGGCGCTCCAAGCAACAGCCTGTTGAACTGCTGTCGAGCCTGGCCTCAGTCCGGGCTCGGGGAGTAGAATAACCCCCAGAACCCTCTTCAGGTATGCTCCAGGTACGTGAAAAATGCGGCGTATTCCTTCTCGTACCTGACCCCGGGTGTAAATTCCAGCATTACATAGCAGAACGTTACATAGTCTTCTTCTCATAATTACCGCCATAGCAGAGCCTCTGACGTTGTTGACTGTGTAAAACCAGGCCGCTTGACCCCCTCAGCCCCAGTGTTTACACACACACACACACACACACACACACACACACACACACACACACACACACACACACACACACACACACACACACACACACACACATATAATATGCTTTCTCCTGCTTTGCTCAAAATTATCAAAACTACTCTGCAACAAACTGTCTGGGATCTTCAAGGCACATCTTCATTCAACCCAGGCAGACGTTGGGTATTGAACCCCACTTTATTCCCAGCCTACATATTTCCCTCATTGGTAAAATTTACGATGATTCATCGTAAATACGTCACGAACGTTGTTAAAACGCATGGAAGCTGTTAACAGTAATCTATTAAATAGCAATAACTGGAGCGGAAAGAGCTGTTTAATATTCTTCGCCAGCACCGGCTACCTTGCCACCAGCGAGCGCGCACCATCGCACCGCCGCCCCAGTTATCCTCTGGGATTACTGAAACTCTTCTGTTCGTTTTTTGTGATGAGGGAGCCCAGTTTTCTGTGGTTAGAGAGCCCAGTTTTCTGTGGTAAGAAAGCCCGGTTTTCTTCGTCTCTGACCTGGTATACTCTTCTAGTTTGTTTTGCTCCATAAGCTCTTTTTGTATTGTCAATGAAATTTTGTCATTGTGAGGGATGAGTGAATTCGCCGAGTGGAGGCAGATATGTCAAGAAGCAGACAAACTGAATATAGAATGTGTTGAGAGACAGAAACAAGTATATATTGACGAGATGTAAATATATATATATATAATAATTCCAACACGAATCTTCTCAATATTTATTACGTTTTTCTTCACTGTCGAGGGTATTTGAAAAATGAACTCTCCAAAATTCATTCTTTTATTTTTGGTCTGGCTCCTGAACGCGTTTTGTAATGCTTATTACATTTTCAAAGACGTTGAACATTGTCTTGACGTTGAACTTATTACATTTTCAAAGACTTTAGTTTACACACACAACTGTTACCTGAAAACACTAAACAGTTTTACTTATACTAGCACTAAACAGCTTATCCGTCTTACTTCAACCTGTCAATAATAATAATAATAGTTGTCCCCGTCCTTGTGTATCGGCAGGCAGCCGACGCAGCTGAGCGTGGTGTGGCTGCGTCGGACGCGGCGGGTGGCGCAGGAGGCGCCGTCCTGGGAGCCCTCCATGAGGAACCCGCTGGAGGGCCTCTGCGTGTGGGCCGTCCCCGCCAACATCGCCATCACCGTCACCCTCTTCAGGGACAACCGCACCAACGAGTTCGAGGACAAGGAGTGGACTTTTGTCGTCGAGGACGTGAGTACTGGGAGGTTATCTTCTTCTTGAGATGATTTCGGGGCTTTTTAGTGTCCCCGCGGCCCGGTCCTCGACCAGGCCTCCACTGGGAGGTTATCTTCTTCTTGAGATGATTTCGGGGCTTTTTAGTGTCCCCGCGGCCCGGTCCTCGACCAGGCCTCCACTGGGAGGTTATCTTCTTCTTGAGATGATTTCGGGGCTTTTTAGTGTCCCCGCGGCCCGGTCCTCGACCAGGCCTCCACTGGGAGGTTATCTTCTTCTTGAGATGATTTCGGGGCTTTTTAGTGTCCCCGCGGCCCGGTCCTCGACCAGGCCTCCACTGGGAGGTTATCTTCTTCTTGAGATGATTTCGGGGCTTTTTAGTGTCCCCGCGGCCCGGTCCTCGACCAGGCCTCCACTGGGAGGTTATCTTCTTCTTGAGATGATTTCGGGGCTTTTTAGTGTCCCCGCGGCCCGGTCCTCGACCAGGCCTCCACTGGGAGGTTATCTTCTTCTTGAGATGATTTCGGGGCTTTTTAGTGTCCCCGCGGCCCGGTCCTCGACCAGGCCTCCACTGGGAGGTTATCTTCTTCTTGAGATGATTTCGGGGCTTTAGTGTCCCCGCGGCCCGGTCCTCGACCAGGCCTCCACTGGGAGGTTATCTTCTTCTTGAGATGATTTCGGGGCTTTTTAGTGTCCCCGCGGCCCGGTCCTCGACCAGGCCTCCACTGGGAGGGTGGTGGTTGTATCAGTAGCACTTTTCCGCAGTAGTGGCTGCACAAGTAATACTTTTACTAGTAATGGTTGTACCAGTAGTTGTAGGGATAGGTGTACCAAGGAGCAGGAGGAACCTGCTGCTTGGGTAACAGCTTCTCCGTATCAACCTACCCAGGCTTTGCGCCCTAGAGAGGTCACTCCAGACCGTCAACCAGAGCGAAACTCCATAGTTTCCTGAGACTGATGGATGTTTACTACTGGTTGTAGTAATAGTTGTACCAGTAGTTGCAGTAATAGTTGTACCAGTAGTTGCAATAGTTGTACCAGTATTAGTTGCAGTAATAGTTGTACCAGTATTAGTTGCAGTAATAGTTGTACCAGTAGTTGCAGTAATAGTTGTACCAGTAGTTGTAGTAATAGTTGTCAGTAGTTGTAATAATAGTTGTACCAGTAGTGGTAGTGGTCAGTGTGTGGTGAGCAGGGGCGGATCTACAACTATTGAAGCTTGAGCCTCAGGGGGGGGGGCCCCGTATTCCGGAGGGCCCCTGAAGCCATTTGAGTCCACATTCCTTAAACATTCTGGGTTTACATCGCAGATTTAATACAAATCTAAGATGTATTTAATACAACAAATTTAATTTGTCGTGGAACAACCCTTTGTGGTGATTTGTCGTTGAATAATCCAATTGTGGTGATATGTCGTGGAACAACCCCCCATTGTGGCGATCGGTCGTGGAACAACCCCCCATTGTGGCGATCGGTCGTAGAGCAACCCCCCATTGTGGCGATCGGTCGTAGAGCAACCCCCCATTGTGGCGATCGGTCGTAGAGCAACCCCCATTGTGGCGATCGGTCGTAGAGCAACCCCCCATTGTGGCGATCGGTCGTGGAACAACCCCCCATTGTGGCGATCGGTCGTGGAACAACCCCCCATTGTGGCGATCGGTCGTAGAGCAACCCCCCATTGTGGCGATCGGTCGTAGAGCAACCCCCCATTGTGGCGATCGGTCGTAGAGCAACCCCCCATGGTGGCGATCGGTCGTAGAGCAACCCCCCATTGTGGCGATCGGTCGTAGAGCAACCCCCCATTGTGGCGATCGGTCGTAGAGCAACCCCCCATTGTGGCGATCGGTCGTAGAGCAACCCCCCATTGTGGCGATCGGTCGTGGAACAACCCCCCATTGTGGCGATCGGTCGTAGAGCAACCCCCCATTGTGGCGATCGGTCGTAGAGCAACCCCCCATTGTGGCGATCGGTTGTGGAGCAACCCCCCATTGTGGCGATCGGTCGTAGAGCAACCCCCCATTGTGGCGATCGTCGTGGAACCAGGTTCAGGAGACAGGTTTGACGTGATATCAACTAGATCTTTCTCTGTCCGTTTCGTGGACTTCGTTTCCCCTTCGGTACCTTGCGTCTGGCCTCCCTGTTCCCTTCGCCTGGTTTCATTATCTTACATTTACTTGGGTTGAACTTTAGTAGCCATTTGTTAGTCTATTCCTTCAGTTTGTCTAGGTCATATTGTAGTCTCTTGCTATCTTCCTCGGTCTTAATCCTCCCTACAATTTTTGCATCATGTGTGTGTGGGTGGGTGGGTGTGTGGGTGGGTGGGTGGGTGGGTGTGTGTGTGGGTGGGTGGGTGTGTGTGTGTGTGTGTGTGTGTGTGCGTGTGTGCGTGCGTGTGGGTGTGTAATTTATATATTTTTATAAAATACAATGAACGTTAGACAGTTCTCAAAAATTACAAAAATCAATTATCACCTTAATTAAGTTATATTAATTTAGGATCATTTTATCTTGCCTCCTATAAATGTAAGTATTGAAAGCAAATTATAATTTTTGAAGCTGTCAACACTATACGAGTTTACCAGCTAACATAAAAAACGAGCACGTTTTTCGTTGAGAGAAAATTGGATTTAGTGTTCTCTCTTTTCATGGCTAACATTTATAATTTCAACCTTGTGTGTTTTCACAGTAGCAGGCCTCAATATAATTTGTTTTGTCGGGGACAAGCAGCCTGTGTGTATGTATGTATATACTTTAGTCTTATATGGACGTCCCCCTCCCCCAAAGGTCACACTCCCGACATGTGAGTCCATGAACGGGTGAAGTTGTTCTCGAAATTATTATATTTTGTTTCTGTATAGCATCTTATAAACTAATTAAATACAGTATAGCGTAAAACACACATTTTAACATGTATATGGGTCGGTAAAAACTGAAAATGGTAGAACAATTTGTAATATAATTAAAACTTTTCAAAATACTTGCATACTGGAAAGAAAAGTTTTACAGTTTATACACGAATCCAACAACCAGGGGTATACTCGGCCAGGGGTATACTCGGCCAGGGGTATACTCGGCCAGGGGTATACACGGCCAGGGGTATACACGGCCAGGGGTATACACGGCCAGGGGTATACTCGGCCAGGGTTATACCCGGTCAGGGGTGTACACGGCCAGGGGTATACTCGGCCAGGGGTATACCCGGCCAGGGGTGTACACGGCCAGGGGTATACTCGGCCAGGGGTATACTCGGCCAGGGGTGTACACGGCCAGGGGTATACTCGGCCAGGGGTATACACGGCCAGGGGTGTACACGGCCTGGGGTATACACGGCCAGGGGTGTACACGGCCAGGGGTATACTCGGCCAGGGGTATACACGGCCAGGGGTGTACACGGCCAGAGGTATACTCGGCCAGGGGTATACACGGTCAGGGGTGTACACGGCCAGGGGTATACACGGCCAGGGGTGTACAAGGCCAGGGATATACTCGGCCAGGGGTATACACGGCCAGGGTGTACACGGCCAGGGGTATACTCGGCCAGGGGTATACACGGTCAGGGGTGTACACGGCCAGGGGTATACACGGCCAGGGGTATACTCGGAGTATACACAGCTTCTGGACGTGTATACCCTGGGAGATGACTGTAGTTGTGGACAATGTCCAGGACTAAGGTATGCTTGTTGGTTGGTCAGGAAACACTTCTGGTCGCCTGAGTAGCCCTGCAGAGCGCCACCAGCCCGCCCTCTCCACTCCCTGCTTGATGGAGTTCTGGGAGTTGTTCTACTCCCCAAGCCCGGCCCGAGGCCAGGCTTGACTTGTGAGAGTTTGGTCCAACAGGCTGTTGCTTGGAGCGGCCCGCAGGCCCACATACCCACCACAGCCCAGTTGGTCCGGCACTCCTTGGAGGAAACTATCTAGTTTTCTCGTGAAGATGTCCACGGTTGTTCCGGCAATATTTCTTATGCTCGCTGGGAGGATGGTCCTCTAGGTCCTCGAGTCTAGAGCGCTGTACACACAGCCATCACCCAAACTGTGTGTGTGTGTGTGTGTGTGTGTGTGTGTGAGAGAGAGAGAGAGAGAGAGAGAGAGAGAGAGAGAGAGAGAGAGAGAGAGAGAGAGAGAGAGAGAGAGAGAGAGAGCGTCAGGTTCAGCTGTACTAAGAGTGTTGTGGTGTCCACAGGTGTCGTCGTCGGGTAAGCGGCGACAGGTGGCGACGGCGCTGATCAACATGAAGCAGTATGCAGGGTTCAGCGCCCAGCACGACGTCAAGGTCAAGCTACGACCCCTCAGCAAGAAGGTCATCTCAGCCTCCCTTGACCTCACCTTATCCTGCCTCTTTCTTCGCGAGGGCAAAGCCACGTGAGTACCCTCCATAGTCTGTATGATGGGGCAAGGGCCCTCCATAGTCTGTATGATGGGGCAAGGGCCCTCCATAGTCTGTATGATGGGGCAAGGGCCCTCCATAGTCTGTATGATGGGGCAAGGGCCCTCCATAGTCTGTATGATGGGGCAAGGGCCCTCCATAGTCTGTATGATGGGGCAAGGGCCCTCCATAGTCTCTGTATGATGGGGCAAGGGCCCTCCATAGTCTCTGTATGATGGGGTAAGGGCACTCCATAGTCTGTATGATGGGGTAAGGGCACTCCATTGTCTGTATGATGGGGTAAGGGCACTCCATTGTCTGTATGATGGGGCAAGGGCACTCCATAGTCTGTATGATGGGGTAAGGGCACTCCATTGTCTGTATGATGGGGCAAGGGCACTCCATTGTCTGTATGATGGGGTAAGGGCACTCCATTGTCTGTATGATGGGGCAAGGGCACTCCATTGTCTGTATGATGGGGTAAGGGCACTCCATTGTCTGTATGATGGGGCAAGGGCACTCCATTGTCTGTATGATGGGGTAAGGGCACTCCATAGTCTGTATGATGGGGCAAGGACACTCCATAGTCTGTATGATGGGGCAAGGGCACTCCATAGTCTGTATGATGGGGCAAGGACACTCCATTGTATGATGGGGCAAGGACACTCCATAGTCTGTATGATGGGGCAAGGACACTCCATTGTATGATGGGGCAAGGACACTCCATTGTCTGTATGATGGGGCAAGGGCACTCCATAGTCTGTATGATGGGGCAAGGACACTCCATTGTCTGTACGATAGCCACTGGAGTACCTGCCACCTGTCTCTGCTACTCTAGTAGACGCGTCATATTTCGTCTTGTGTTCACCATCATTTACTCTGTGCCTGTAACGAGTGGCTTAGGTCAACAATTACTTTATTTTAAATTACTATTAATTACTTTTGAATATAATTACTTTTACTTTTTTAATAAACAATTCCTTTATCCACTATGTAATCACGTTAACTTGCCCAAGTATTGCCTATTGTATAAGGTCATTATTATTATTATTATGAAGAAGAAGAAGAAGAAGACGGTATTATTCCTAAATATAAAGCCGCTTCTCTCCCTCTCTGGGGAGGATGTTCATGGCTTTGCATTTCTTAAGTTAGAGTTCAGTCCCCCCGAAGATCCAAGTGAATGCCATGGTGATGTGCACTATTTTGTTGATTTGTAATTGATGTGGCGTAGATGGTGGGTAGATTATCAAGATACCGTTGTTTGGCCTCAGGGAGAGGTCGAGCTGTGATTGAGTAGCAGGTCTCTACTTTCTTGGGCCCTCGTCATTGTGAGTTGCTTGGTGACAAGCAACTGTTTCATGTTTTGACAGCTCGAGGTTAATCAACAAAAAACCAAGTTTTTTTTACATAAAAACATGCTCATAATATTCTCTCTCTCTCTCTCTCTCTCTCTCTCTCTCTCTCTCTCTCTCTCTCTCTCTCTCTGATTTATTCCCTCATTCTCTCAATTTTTTAGTCTGTAAACGAGAATAAGAAGTATGGGAAGAGACATAGTAGTTATAGTTGAGACCAAAGTTGACTAGAATGTTTAGGAATGACAGATAACAAGAAGAGAAAGGAAGGAAGTGTGAGGAGGTCGAGCGACACAGCTCCTCAAACGACATGTGAACTTTTAATAAATATAAATGGATGGAACAAATCCAGAAATTTGGATTTGTTAAAGAAAAAGTGTGTTGGAAAAGATAGTGGCAGAGGGGATAACAGGAGACCCAGGCATGGATAATGAAGCAAAAGCCCGATAAATATTCAGTTCATTAGCGTCACACACACACACACACACACACACACCCACCCACCCATGAAGCGTGTTGCTGCTATAAGATTGACCTGGCTGCCGGCCACAGTTATACGTGACCCCAGGTCGTACTTGACAGTGAGAGCCTTGTTGCAACTTTGTGTCAAGTGTCGTTTATGTCTCGCCACTCCTCTGAGACGACAAATTGCAAAGGTCGCTTAGATGAACTGTGAGAGTTGGATGGGATAAGTTTTTGTGCTTTTTCCCGCCTCCTCCGACTCCTGGGGAGTCCAATAGGACTCGCTCTTCCTTTCTCGACATTCTACACGGTTTCCCCAGAACTCATTCCCAGAACCCCCGGAACCCAAGTCCGCAGCATCCACAAAACCTCTCTGGAACCCCCAGGAACCCTTTGGATCCCATCTCCTGTGCCCCAAGGAACTGGCTCACTGCCCCATCAGGACGTAATCCCAGAAACCCCGGGAACCCACTGCTCGAACAGACTGAAGAACCACTCTTGGAAGCTTGCAGAAACTTTCCCCCATATCCTTGAGAAACTCACCCGTGTAACGCAGAAACTCAGCCAGGTCCCTCTTGACCCAATAACAACTCTCACTTCCTGACTTTGCTAAAGTAGCCTCCATCGGAACCTCCAGAACCTCCTCCCAGTAAGTCTCCACGGTCACCCTAAGGATTGTTTTCCTGAACATTTCCCCGGGAACACTGCTCTGCACCCCTGAGCCAGGGGTGCAGAGGACTGGGTCCAAATCTGAACACAGAGATAACACCACATGAGACCAGAAGGTATGGCAGGATGTGCAGAATACCCCCGTTGAAAAGCAGAGGTGCAATAGGTACTCTGAGAGAGAACTGTCAACATTAGGGGCCCGAGACTGTTCAACGCTCTCCTGCTGCACATAAGGGGCATAACTGGCCGGCCTCTCACAGTGTTCAAGAGAGAACTCTACAAACACCTCCAAAGAATACTTAATCAACCAGGCTGTGATTCATACCTCAAGCTGCGAGCAGCCACATCCAACAGCCTGGTTGACCAGACGACCAATTGGGAGGCCTGGTCGGAGACCGGGCCATGGGGCTGTTAATCCCCGGAAGCTACACAAGGTAGACAGGTAGCCACCAATACCTCTCTTGAGACAACTCGCGTCCCCTCTCCTTCACTCTGCGTCGGGTCTTCAGTCAAGTAAAAAAGTCTGCTGAGCACAGTTGTGTTGAAGAGACATTCACATCCCAGGAGAGTGGATGGTCCTTGTGAGGGGCTGAGAGGCGCATGGACACGATGAAAGGGGAGGAGGTACTAGATGAGGGGAAAGAGAAATGGAGTAGGTGAAGGAAGAAGAGGGGAGGGGAGGGGAGTAGTTATAACTTTATAACCAATGTTATAACCTATTTTGTGTAATGAAGTTGTAAATAAAATAAAATAAAATAATAAGTTACAAATAAATAGTGGGTTGTAGAAGACAATATGTGAGCGTTTGTTCTCACCTAATTGTGCTTGCGGGGGTTGAGCTCTGGCTCTTTGGTCCCGCCTCTCAACCGTCAATCAACAGGTGTACAGATTCCTGAGCCTACTGGGCTCTATTATATCTACATTTGAAACTGTGTATGGAGTCAGACTCCACCACATCACTGACTAGTGCATTCCATTTACTAACTACTCTGACACTGAAAAAGTTCTTTCTAATGTCTCTGTGGCTCATTTGGGTACTCAGCTTCCACCTGTGTCCCCATGTGCGTGTACCACCCGTGTTAAATAATTCATCCTTGTCCACCCTGTCAATTCCCCTGAGAATTTTGTATGTGGTGATCATGTCTCCCCGAGATCTTCTGTCTTCCAGCGACGTGAGGTGCAGAGGTGTAGGTGCCCCACAAGGCTTCCCAGGATGCTACATATCCTCCTCTTCAAGGATGAGGGTCTTCACAAATGCAACCAGATGTGGTACCCCCTATATATATTAATTAAAATATATGTCGTACCTAATATCCAGAACCGCGTTACTTGACATTGTATGCAAAGACCGATTTACCTAAAAGAGTGATTTTCGTTATTGTCAAGTATTTCTTTCCAAATTGGTTTATCCCAATTTACATTATTATATCAAGAAGATGAATTACTGACATAGTTATGTTAAATTAGGACAGGATAGGATAGGTTGATATTGGCGATGGCTTCCTAAATCTCGCAGGAATCACGCTCGCTGAGGACCAAGTCACTCTCTTAAATCGGGTAATAAACTGTCACGTTATGTCCAGACCAAGCGAGATGGCCTGGAAGGCGGAGTTGGAGGTCTTGCTGGGCGACCTTTTCGATCTTGGGACACAAAGGAAGAGCACAGCTGAAGATACTCTGCAATTAGAGCGTCTGGCGGGAGGAAAGATTAGAGGTATCTATAGAGGCACCATTATGTCTCTTAGGCTCAAAGCTCAAGGTGAGAACCTTCGTGAAAATAAGAAAATAGTTGTCAGAAGAGGTGATGAATCGCCAACATGTGTCATCTTCCAAAAAAGGATGAATATAGTGAGAAAATAAACCTCATTCTCTGATCAAACTAAATTCCAAAGGGTCGCTAGGGATTCCACTACCGAATTGAAAACGAGGGTAAACATATTGGTTGAACCTGTTAATGGGCAAATTCTGGACTCACCTGCTGTAAGCGTGGGGAGCACACGACTGTATATATGTACGGCACTGTTCACACCCACTTGGACCCCATCACCCATCTGGACCCCATCACCCACCTGGATCCCATCACCCACCTCGACCCATCACCCACCTGGACCCCATCACCCACCTGGACCCCATCACCCACTTGGACCCCATCACCCACCTGGACCCCATCACCCACCTGGACCCCATCACCCACCTGGACCCCATCACCCACTTGGACCCCATCACCCACCTGGACCCCATCACCCACCTGGACCCCATCACCCACCTGGACCCCATCACCCACCTGGACCCCATCACCCACTTGGACCCCATCACCCACCTGGACCCCATCACCCACCTGGACCCCATCACCCACCTGGACCCCATCACCCACTTGGACCCCATCACCCACCTGGACCCCATCACCCACCTCGACCCATCACCCACCTGGACCCATCACCCACCTGGACCCATCACCCACTTGGACCCATCACCCACTTGGACCCCATCACCCACCTGGACCCCATCACCCA